AACTCTATTAGTAGCAAGTGTTGCATCAAATTTCTCAGTACCAGTATCAATAGCAGTTCCCTCCACTACCTCAGGCCCAGCAGCCGCTTCCCCCACGGCATCCGGCCACGAAGCAAGCCAAGCTCCCCCGTCGAAGCGAACGACCTCACCCCCGCTTCGCAGCCGATCAGGCCCGCATCGCCTCAGCACTCTCAGTTCGAGCTCCTCCCTAGCCGCGGATTACAAGCAAGGCCCTTCGGCTCACAGCTATCATTAGTAGTCTGAGCCCCTCCCTGGGCTCATCGAGCTCGGTAATATTGAAGCAAGCAACACCAACGCCGAGCCGGCGAAGCAGCAGCGGAGGCGCCGACGAGCTCGTCAAACTGCCACTCACGACCTGCCCGAGCTCAAGGGTAAGGAGGAGATAAGCTCAGGTGAAGTAAAAGCTACTCCTCTTCTTTCAGTTTCCTCCCTCCTGTCTCCAGAACTTCTTGTTGTTCCTATGCCAAAGGACTTCAAGCTTCCTCCCCTAGATAATTATGATGGATCTTTCGATCCGAATGACCATGTTGATGCCTTCTAGTCCCAGATGCACCTGGCAAGGGCCAGTGAATCCTGCATGTGCGTAGCTTCCTCCACCACCTTCAAAGGAGTGGCCCGCACATGGTACCGGAATCTCGCGTTCGGATCAATAAAGAGCTGGGCGCAGTTCGTGCAAGTCTTCACTTCTCATTTCGTCACCAGCAAGAGGTGCCTGAGAACTCAGGAGAGCCACCTTGGCATAGTCCAGAAAGAAGGGAAGTCTATTCAAAGCTATATCAAGCGGTTCAATGACGCTTGTTTGCAAATACCCGACTTAGACCCCGCAGTTCGGCTCACTGCGGCCAAGAGGGGCATCACGCACAAGTAATTCAAGTGGCACGTAATTGTTAATCAGCTCAGGACTGTGACCGAGTTCCTCAAGCTCGCGGATCAGTTTATAGGGACGGAGGAGGAGATCAACCAGAAAGGTGAACAAACCCTTGAGAAAAGAAAAAAGGGAGACAGAGCCCTCAACTCAAGGCGATAGCAAGAAGAAGAAGGACCAAGCTCGGAGGGCAAGGCCAGGACAGCCTTTCCGAGCTCCAGCGGCAGAGAGGACGGACTACACGCCCCTGAATGCGAAGCGGGCAGAGATCCTTATGGCGATCAAGGACGCCCCATATGTGAAGTGGCCACCCCGGCTGAAGGCAGATCCTAGTGTAAAAAATAAGAATTTGTATTGTAATTTCCATAAAGACCACAGTCATAACACCGAAAATTGTAAAAACCTCCGCGACGAGATAGAGAAGCTCATCCGTCGCAGATACTTGAGAAATTTTGTACAAAATAATAATAATAATAAAACAGGTCGGCAGGGGGAGCAGAGTAGAGATGCTCCCGAATCCAGCAGGTAGGCAGAACAACCGTAGAGGAAGCCCCCTGAAGAGAGACCAGTTCGGGGGACTATCCACGTGATTGTCAGAAATTCGGTCGTTGCGGGCTGTACCTTAGCTACAACTCAAACATCAGCTCGTGAGGCCGCCAGGGAAGAGCAGAATCCCCCGAAGTGGCCAAGGACGGAAGACCCGATCTTCTTCATAGAGGACGATGCACACAGGGTCCACTACCCCCATGACGATGCGCTTGTTATAAAGGTAAAGATTAACGACTTTGAAGTCAGGTGTGTCCTCGTCAATTCTGGCAGCTCAGCAGATATCATCTTCAAAGCAGCATTTGACAAACTCCAGCTCCAAGAAAGCGACCTGAAGCCCGCAAATACTCCCCTGGTAGGCTTTAGCGGAGAGGAAGTCAAGCCCCTGGGAAGGATTACGATACATGTGGAAGTCGGCACCTGGCCTACCATAGTGAGGCTCAACCACGACTTCTTAGTGGTCGCAACCCCCTCCCCGTACAATGCCATAGTAGGACGGCCGATCACCCATGCCCTACGTGCGGTGGTCTCCACTTACTATTTGGCAATGAAGTTCCCCACGGACTTCGGAATTGGGATAGCGCGAGGTGACCAGCTTGAGTCTCGCAAGTGCTACTCTGCCGCCCTCAAAAGGAAAGCCAAGGTGGTCGACAACCTCGAGCTGGAGCGACCTACGGAGCAATGCGAGGAGCGAGCTGCACCCACGGAAGAGACTGCCTCCATCACGGCATCGACGAGGGACCCAGCTCGGACACTTCAGATTGGTGCTTCCATTGAGGAGCCTCTGCTATCCCAACTGATAAGTTTCTTACTTAAAAATTTAGATGCTTTTGCATTGTCCGCGGCAGAGATGCCCGGCATATATCCTACCCTCATAACTCACAAGCTTAATATTGATCATGTAGTTAGGCCCATTAGACAGAAGAAACGCAACTTAGCCCAGATCGATGGAGGGTAGTCGACGAGAAGGTCGGAAAGCTCCTCGCAGCCACTTTATAAGAGAAGTCCATTACCCGAGCTGGGTGGCCAACTCCGTTCTGGTAAAAAATGCCAACGGTAAATGGCGCATGTGCGTCGATTATACCGACCTGAACCGAGCTTGCCCAAAGGACTGCTCCCCCCTCCCAATGATCGACCATCTGGTGGACGCGACCTCAGGGCATGAGTTGTTGAGTTTCCTAGACGCCTATTCGGGCTACAACCAGATCAGGATAGACCCAACTGACGAAGAAAATACCGCCTTAATAACCAAGCTCGGCCTGTACTGTTACAAGGTCATGCCCTGTGGATTAAAAAATGTTGGGGCAACCTTTCAGAGACTTGTAAATAAAATGTTTGAGCCATTGATTGGCAGAAAAATAGAATGTTATGTAGACGACATGGTCGTCAAAACCCAATTTTCGCATGAATTAATACAAGATTTGCATTCTATTTTTGAAATTTTGCGTAAGTTTAATATGAAGTTAAATCCGAGCAAGTGTGTCTTTGGTGGCACATCGGGTAAGTTTCTAGGGTATATCGTCAACCGGCGTGGCACTGAGGCCAACCCGAATAAAATTAGAGCCATCCTAGATATGGGACCACCCTGGAAACTGAACGACGTTCAGAGGTTGAATGGCCGAATAGCTGCTCTAAGTCGCTTCATGTCCAAACTGGCAGACCGCTGCCTGCCTTTCTTCAAGGCAATTAAAAGCAAAAGTTTTGAATGAACCGAAGAGTGCCAGCTCGCGTTTGACGAGCTCAAAAAGTACCTCGCTGGTATACCAGTCTTAACCCGGCCCGAGGAGGGCGATGTTTTAGAATTGTACCTCTCGGTAAGTGACGAGGTGGTCAGCTCGGTACTGATAAAAGAGGTAGATCGGGTCCAACGACCTATCTATTATGTTAGTAAAGTGTTTCAGGGAGTAGAGACGAGATATGTAGAGATAGAAAAGCTGGCCTATGCACTAGTTATTGCAGCCCGGTTAGCCAGCACCAGTGATAATACCATGAGAACCGTGTACATAGAAAACCTACCTCGGCCTAGCATTCTCGGAGGGGCAGAGAAGGCCGCTCCTGTCGTGCAAGCAGAGCCGAGCTGGATCGATCCGCTCGCGAGCTTCCTGCTGCATGGGACCCTCCCTGCGGACCATAATGCCACCAGAAGGGTGAAGCATCAGGCGGCCAAATACGTCATAATAGACGAACAACTATACCGGAGGTCGTACACGCTCCCCTACCTGCGCTGCTTGCGACCTTCCAAGGCCGAGCTCGTCCTCTGCGATACTCATGAAGGCTTGTGCAGTGGACACTTGGGGGGCAAAGCTCTCGCCCAGAAAGCGCTACGACAGGGATACTACTGGCCAACAATGAAAGCAGATGCGATCGAGCTCGTCAGAAAGTGTGACAGGTGCCAGAAGCACACCAATATCCACCACCGACCTGCCGCCGACCTGAAGTACCTCACCAGTCTATGGCCTTTCGCACAATGGGGGATCAATAAACTCAGACCATTCCCACCAGCGACAGGACAGAGAAGGTTCTTAGTGGTGCCGCCGACCTGAACCCCTCGTAACGATCACAGCTCGGAATGTGTAGAACTTTTTCTAGAAAAAATATAGTGTGACGCTTCGGGTTACCTCGAGTACTGTTCTCTGACAATGGTAAGCAGTTCGAGGACATTAAATTCCAGAACGGGTGCCAAGACATGGGAATTCAACAGAACTTTACCTTAGTGGCACACCCTCAGGCAAACGGCCAAGCGGAAGTCACGAACAAAGCTATCCTCTGTGGATTGAAGGCACGCCTGGACCGAGCTAAAGGACTAAGGGCAAACGAACTACCTAGTGTTCTATGGGCTTATTAGACCACAGTGAAGACCGCTACAGGCGAGACCCCCTTCAACCTCACCTACGGCACTGAAGCAGTCATTCCAGCCGAGATCGAGGTTCCCTCGCTACGTCTAGAAGCTTATGATGACAAGGAAAATAAAGACGAGCTACGCACCAACCTCGACCTACTTGACGAAGTACGAGACCTCGCATATATTAGGACCGCGGCCTACCAGCAGAGAGTAACTCGGTACTATAACGCCAGGGTCAAGAAGCGGAACCTCCTCGTCGGCGACCTAGTCCTTCGTAAAGTTATGGTGCCTGAGCCCGCTGTTGATAAGCTCGGGCCAAATTGGGAAGGGCCCTACCGAGTAAAGCGAGTGCTCGGGGAAGGAACATACGAGCTCGAAACCCTAGAAGGGAAACAAGTACCTCAGGCATGGAATATTGTGAACTTAAGGCAATATTACCTATAAATTAATGAGTAGACCACGAGTCACTCCCAGAGCCTAAGGGTCAAAATGCCGAGCTAACGAAGATCTCAGAGCGATAAGACCCAGTCGCCTCTATGGCATGGGCGAACTCCATAAGGGGGTAGACTGTAGTCGCCCCCCCAAAGCTTAAGTGCCAAAACACCGAACTAGCAAAGACCTCAGCACCATAAGACCCAGTCGCCTCTATAGCATGGGCGAACTCTAGGAGAGTGGACTATAAGTCACTCCCCCGACCTAAGGGCTAAAACGCCGAGCTAACGAAGACCTCGGCACCGTATAAGACCTAACCACTTCATCGGCATAGGCTAAGTATTAATACCGAAGGCACGGGCAGCTCGAGTGAACCCTCTGATGTGTGGATCACTTCGGTATACAAGTTGAACCCACTAAGGGGATTTAACTCTAACATTATAAAACTACCCCAAATACTGGGGAGCAGTTCGGGGTAACAATTACCGAAAGACCCTACTTCGGGTATGTAGCTCTAACAGCTCGAATGATAAAGTCGCTTCGGCGGAAAGTAAAGAGCATAGCACTTAGAAACAAAAATGGGAATACTTCATTTCCAGTTCTAAAAAAAAATAAACAACAAAAACAAACGAACAAAAAACAAAGGCATGGCCTAACAGTCTGAGACAGTTCATCAAGAAAAGAAAGACATAGAACCGGGTTCAGACACCCGGGAACAACCACTTCAAAATTCAGTCAAGAAGAAAAAACAAGAACTATCGGCCTCAAGGTTCCACCGCCTCCACGTCCTCGTCATCCTCCGGAGAGTTGGGCTCCTCCTCCTCCGCCATGCCCACCATCTCTGGGTCCAGACCCTTCATCGTTATGCCTTCGAGGTTGAGGCCAGAGAACTTTCGGACCAACCATCGGCAGAGTTTGAATCCCGAACGGTAAAAGTTCTAACCGTACTCCACCTAGAGGTCGTGGTACTCCTGAGAGCCTTTGAAGTCCCACACCGCCTTAGCTCACTCTGCCTCCACCATGGCGTCAAAGTTCCAAGTCCGATCCCGGAGCGTGGACTCCAAGTTCTGGACCTACTGGCGAAGGAGCTCTCTCTCCGCTGTCACCCTCGACGACTCCTCCCGGTAGCAAGCGCTCTCCTCAGACAGTCGGGCGATCTGTGCTTCCTAGTCCCGGACGAGCAGCTCCTGAGTCTCACTCCCTTTCCGAGCCTGGAGGATTTCATCTCGGTCCTGATCGAGCTCACCCCGGAGCTTCTGCACGTTCGACCTCTGAGTGAGGGCGTCCTTGGAGTGAATGTTAGTCTGGAGGGCCATGGCGTGGATGGCGGAGTTCACCTGCCAGCAAAAGGTCGAGGTAAAGAAAAAATGGAAGGAAAAGAAGAGAGAGAAAAGGGGGAAACAGTCACATACCACCATGCAATGAGCCGAGGCCACCCTGGCGAAGTAATGCCGGCTACACGTCTTCCAGGGCTGAAGTGGTGTCGGCTGCACGTCTTCCGAAACTAACAGCCGCTTGGTGCGCTTTTTGGCGCCCAAAAATCACCTGACATCTGCAAGTGCATTTAATGCGATCAGCCAACCCAGTTTGAACCACGGGTCAAATCCTCCCATCGCTTCATAAACTCACCATGCAAAGAGTGAGACCCTTAGCCCGAGGAGTGGGGGGCAATTGATGGAGGGTGAATTGACCCGACCTCCTAAGCAGACGACACATGGACATGACTCAACATAAGCAACAGCTCAGCATAACAGCCTGGTTTCAACCCAGTGTAACGAGCTCGCTGAAACCTTCGCGAGTCAGCTCGCCACAGAACAGCTTGCTACAAAGTGAGCTCGAGCTCACTAGTGTGCTAGACGAGGAACACCCCAAGCTATTTCAGCTCACGAGCTTGGACAATTAGCTCGCTCCAACCCTTTGGTAAGGTCGCCTCGAAGGCCTCAGGCGGAATCACCTCGGGACGCCCTAGCAGCTCGCTACAAGGTAGTTCGCTATTAAGCAATGCGGCGTCCTCAAGAAGTTTCTTATCTGACAAGACCGTACCCGTTAGACTGCACCCGCGTTTCCTGACTGATGACGCAGTACCTGCCAACCCAGCGGGCTGCGCCCACGTCTCTCGACAGGCGGCGACGTGTTTGTCCTTCCCGGGTCACATCCCTCATCCGATTGGGCCAGTACCCCGCAACGGTTACCTATGCAGCCCTGGCAAATAACGGTTGCGATAGAGGGCCAATGGCGGTTACGCCCGATTTGACAGAACAACCAGTATTTAAGGACCCCGATTTCCAAGGGGCAGAGGTAATTGAACTGATTTAGCGCTATCTGCACTCTCAGCTCTCTTTGCATTTCCTACAGCTCCCAAAGTTCTAACTTAAGCATCGGAGTATTTGCACCGGGCGAGCTCCCCGGGAATCCTTCACCTTCCTCTTCTCAGGTACCGTCCGTCGCCAACTAGGAGCTAGACGTCTGCTAGCTAGGAGTGCCCGGATCACGCTGCATCAACGTGTAAAGTGCAAGTGTAAGATGAAGCAAGCTCAATGCCACAACATAACTAAAAAGCAGATCCAAGGCTACCAAAACCATTAAGAAGCCAAAAGAAAAGGAACCAATAATTGGTTGAAATTTTAGAATATAATAAATTCAATTTCTTTTTTTTTCTATCTCATTTTTTAAATATAAACCTTGATCTTCAGTCCCATATATAAATAACAAGGTGATACGAAAAGATATGAAAAGATACTCCAAAGGTAATGATGAAAAAGGCCCTTCATTAGTTTTACAACACAACCAAAGTACTCATCCTATTAGACTTAGCAAACTGAATATTACCTGAATCAGATCCATGTTTATGAACCACCTAATCTGAACTTTAGAAAACAAAACAAAGTACTCTTCTAGAGATATTTGGACAATTCAATGGGAAAAAAGAGAAAGGACGCCCTCAATCCTTTTTTCATTACTTAAGGAAAAGAGAAAACACAAAAAAAAATTATCATTCTTCATTACTTAATGAGAGAGATGACAAAACAAAACAACTAAAACAAAGAATCCTCCACAAAGGATTAGATCTTTGGTATAAATTGACCCTTCAAACCTCCCCCCAATAATAATGAATACCCATAAAAGAGTGTCATATCATGTTGATCCTATCCAACTTTGTCTTTACTCTATTTGAATAGATAACATAGCCTCTCTCTTCACAAAACCTTGCTACTATAGAATTAGCTGATCTAGGACTCCACCTGAACAATAAATGCCTTTCATCTCTAGGAGGTCTAAGTAGGAAGTAAGTTAAGGACAATGATCCTAAAACTTTAGAGGAAACCATGACCCAAGGCATAATTCTATTATCCAAATGAAATTGCCATATCATGGAACTTTGAAATAAATGTAACAGCTCCACTATTGATATTGGTTGCTAAATGGAAACTACACTTTGAGGCTCCACTTTGATGAGATCATATATTTACAAATGGAAGAAATTATAGTAGTCTGGGAAGGCGAATCTTCAATGTTTATGTTCAGGTAGTTTTTAGTCAATTACATTTTAAGATGTGCATTCAATATCTTGTATTCCAATATTTTAGTAAAGTCAATGTTTCAATGTCCCGAGGCGGGGGTGAAGTAAAACATTTGATTGAATGAGAAGATAATGTGTGAATGTGTGTTTGTGTGCATGTTGTCTGCCTTGTTTGTGATTGGAATGTCCTTAACTTCAACACATTTACCCTTTTCCCAATTCTTGATTGCAATGTGTGGTTTTAAATTAGGTACAATTTTGTTTGGCACTTTCAGATTTTTTTTTTTAAGATTAACATGACCATTATCTATGCTGGTTTCTTTTGAATTTATTGTTCCAAACAAGCAACTTTTTTTAGCTAAATGTATCCATATCACGATACCTATCCATTTCCAAGCTTTATTGATAATTATATGTATAGATACTTTGAACCTCAGTTGGACAAGCACCAAGCAAAGAAGTAAGATTGACAACCAAAGTAAACCCGTCAAAAGAAATAAGTAACTTGTTTGTTAGGACAATCCATGGATTATGATTTACATGGATTCGGCACCACAGCTGGAATTTCCAAACTTGTGTGAGTCTCCAGATTCCATCACTTGGACTTTTTTTGTCATCATAGTAGAATTTACAAAACATGGATTTAGCAAATGCAGCCTAGAATCATAGAACCAAACAACTGAGCAGGTTGTGGTTTCATGTTATAATGAATTCTAGACATTGAGTTTTTAAAATACAATTACCCCATTCCCAAATTGGGCTAGATTGGGGAAACTGGATTTCACATGATTCATTCCCAAATTGGGGTTGCTTTGTTTGGAAAGGTATTCTCAAAAGTATACCTTTAATGTACCTAGGTGTGAGATCTAAGGTGGGTAAAGGGGCAGGCTGAAGTTTTGGAAAGATCCTTGGTGCTTGGATAGACCTTTAGTTGAGGCATTCCCCCTTCTTTGTCAATGTGCAACAAACCTAGAAGTATTAGTGGTGGAGTCTTATTTTCTCTCCAATAACACAGTGGTTTGGAACCCTCAGTTCAGAAGAAACCTATTTGGTTGGGAGGTAAATGGGGTCTTGGAATGATTGGAACTGTTACAGGGTCAGATTATTGATACCAACGGGGAAGATGAATGGTCCTAGATCTGGAGTAACGATGGTTGTTTTTCAGTTAAATCTTTGACTTCTAAACTTAGTAGTAATGGTGATGTGGCAAATTCCCCTATAAGCAAGCTCGGAATCCTATTTTCCCCTCTAAATCCAACTTCTTTATGTGGACAATGGTGCAAAACAAATGCCTCTCTAAAATCAATTTGGAGAGGTGGGGTCTTCATCTATCTTCTCTGCTGTGTGGTCTTTGTGGTCTTTACTAGGTTATCCACTGTCCTATCTCCTCTACAATGTGGGATCACTTCCTTGGGGCTTTGGACTTTATTGGGTTATGCCAAAATCAGTCAAAGACCTTATGTTCAGTTGGGAGATTACAGGACTGAAGAAAAAGGAAAATTAATATGGAAGACGATTCCTGCGGCTGTTCTTTGGGTAATCTATGCAGAGAGGAACATAAGAGTCTTTTATAAGAAGACTGAGAGCATTGATGAGGTAGTACAATAGGCGGTAAGCAAACTGATTTCTTGGGTGTCTGTTACTCTAGATTTTAAGAACCTGAATGTACCCGACTTGTTTAGATCAAAGTCCATATGGAGTTTGTAACTTTGGCCTAGTGCTTTATCTAGTCCTCATGTGGCTAGCTTCTCTGTTGTAACTTATATTATGTGATTCAATAAAATCTTACTTTACCTTAAAAAAATACAATTACCCCATTACTCAAAAAAAATTGCCTTCTCATCAAACATAGAATCCTCATTTATTCATACTAAGGCTGCATTTGGCATTCCTTATTTTTAAGGACTTATCTCCTTTTCCCTATGAACGCCGAGTTTTTAATTACAAAAAGAAGATAACTTCTTAAAATAAGGATTAGCAAATGTAACCTTAGTGTCTTCACATTCAAATTTTATGAATTTTGTATATAGAAAAGAAGAAATTACAGATGCAACTATAGTTAGAAAGCATGTGTATGATATGCATTTTTATATTTTAAACAAACTGTATTGAAACGAACATATTTTCAAAATACAGAAAATGATATGAACTTTTCATAAAAATTATAGTATGCATATATTTAATGAAATACACCAAATAAAAAGCATATCAAATTTTTTTCCATATTTTTTTAAAAGAAAGATTATTAAACACTTACTATGACTTTAACTAATATTTTTACTATATATGCCTTTGTTTTGGCTCTACTTTTATCTGAAATCCAACTATACACAGTTGGGATTTTAGAATCCAGCAATCATTGGAATCAAAATCTATACAATTAACCCAACAATCATTGGAACTGAAAAAAAGAAATCAAATAAAAAATGGGAAAATAATGAATAATAACATGATTCAATGTTTAAACAGTTGGGATTTTAGAATCCAAATTTATACAATTATCAAAGAAGACAATGACAAGCATGGGTTGATGTCGAGAACCACCTCCATCGGCTCTCCTACTCTCTCAAGTCACTATATTGGCTAAATACAGGATAAGCAATAAACACATACACACAAAAAAAAAAAGAACACTATCCATTGGGGCGATAACTGGCTTACCTGATTATGCTGGACCTTAAAATCAATCAATGGAATAAGGAAATTGAGGTTGTGTCATCTCCAATCGTCGTCTCTAACAGCCACGATGGTGAAGTCAAGGATACTGTGTAGTCTCCAATCGTCCTCTCTAACAGCTCGATCAGGGGATCGACGATGTCTCAAGGTGTGGGGAAGAGAGAGAGAGAAAATAAATGAAAAAGTGGAGAGAGAGAGAGAGTGTGTGAGAAGGGAGTAAAGTAAAAATAAATGAAAGGAAAGTAGGAGAAATACGACAAAAAATTGAGAGATTACCTGGTTCAAGCTCGATAGAGTTTGCTTGCAACGACAAGGATGAAAAGAGAGGAAACTGGGGCATGAGATGATGAAGAAAAGAGGATAGGAATTAGGAAGGAAAATAGAGAGAAAGACAAAAAAGAAAGAAAATAGGGAGTCTTCCAACGAGAAAGTGAGGAGTCTTCCCATGCAATTGTGTTTGGGCGCCAAATCTTTATCTGCCAAAATTGCAAGGGCAAAATTATAATTTTAGAGGCATTAATAAATGTCTCTAAAATATCCCTCTAAGTCTGCCTCCTATAAGTCCGCCTCCCGTCGATTGCCTCTAAAGATAGAAGTTCTAGTAGTGTTTGCTTTAAGACAAAGTTGAGAGCGCTAAATATCATTACCCTCGAGGTACAATACAACCGCACAGGGTGGTTACTTGTGAGTTACCACTTAACTACTAAAAGACAAAATAACAAGCCATTCCATTCAGCCACTTGAGCAACTCTTGTAGTGTCATGGACAAGTTAGATTGTGTCACATCAGTATTTTATATATTTAAGTATAAGTATAGTTATATATATAGTGTGTGAAATATATTTTATCAATAAATAATATATAATTATATTCTACATATAATATATGCATTATTTTATATTTTTAATTCAATTTTTATCTCTCTTGAATTGTAAAAAAAATATTAAGAATTGTGAGTTGAAACCAAAAAGGGGGTTTCTTTTCGCAAAAATAGCGGGGCAAGACATCTACAACTCACTATGATGCATAGATATTGAAAAATAATATAAAAAAAAATATCACTTGAATCGAATAATGGAGTGCAAAATTATGGCCTTTGGAAATTTGCATACATAGATTGTGCTTGGTACCATTGCCACTTCTAACATTTTTGTGTTTATCAATACAAAATTTTAAGAAATTGTCTCATCAGATAACCACTTCCACTTAAAAAATATAGGCATTTGATTAGGTGTTGGTACCCAGTGTCTACTTAAGAAGCAACAATGGCACCCAATGTTGTACTGATAACTTAAAGCATTTTGGTAGAAAAAAATATATTCTCATAAGATTTGTATTTATCAACCTAAAAGGTTGCAAGTAGAAGTGGCAATGGTAACAAACATAACCTTAGTGTGCAATTTGTGACCCGATTGGTCATTGGGTCAAATGGATCAACAGTTTGATTGGCCGAGTCAAATATTTTTTGACATGGCCAATAATTTATGAATAATTTTTTATTTTTTCTAGAAGCAAACACAAAATCATGACCATATGACTATTTGAACGATTCAACCAGCTGTGTCAACAACAGGTTGAATGAGCATAGTTGGTTTGGTTCCATGGCAGAACCTGGAACCTACCCTGTAGGGGTCAGTTCCAGGTTTTAGAACCATAACCTATACTATGAAGGTCGGTTCTGACCTCGGTGGTTTTGGGGTCAAATCCAGGGTCTACCCGTGGAACTTGTTATTTCTTTACTCTCCCCCTTCAAGAAAAAAAAATGAAACATGTCATTCAAAAGCTTGAATTTCAATAATGATAATATATAGTTTAAAATTTATATTTTTATTGTTTAATTTAAGTAATTTAATATGTAGATTATCATAATATATTAATATATGGTTGAAAACTTGTCATTATAGTTTAAATTTTGTAAGTATTACCTTTTACATTATTTATTATACACATACAAATATTAAAATGAGAACAAATAATAAAATCACTAAAGTAACTTGATGGTCAAGTGAGACCATGACTTTTATAACCATGAGTGCTTTGACTCAAATCTTCACATCCTGAAAAACATTTTAGGATTTATTTCAAGACAAATTCAGTTCCAAGACTGATTTCACCAAAGTCAATCAAGACTGGTTCATCCAATTAGTTCGAGTATAATAAACCCCTCGGTTCCAAGAATTTAAAACCAGACCTACCTTTAACAAATCGGATAAGGTTAGTTCGAGGCGAATTCGAGGTCGAGATGCAACCTACCTATTTGCTCATCCCTAATTATTATAAGTTTAATATCTGATATATGATATTAACTTAATTTTTTTTGTTGGGGGAAGGCCCAGCAGAGTACCTTGCTATTTGGGGCTTTCATGCGTCGCCCGTGCGCACGGGACTGGCGCACCCCTACCCATCTCATAAAAACAAGTCTTTGAACTGGGCGGTCACGATCGCGCCAACGATCTTAGCTACCAGTGACTTGGGCAGGAAGTCGGCTGTTTTTTTTTAATCATTTCCCTGTCTCTCTCACACAAACACAGTGAAAAGAACTCGTTGGGCATCTCTTTCTATTTGGTTTTCGATTTCCGTCTTAGAAGGTCCATTTGAAGGGAGGTTGTGGTTGATTTGATTTCTAGGGTTCTTACGCTGTAATTGCTGCTGCAGCTGCAATGGATCTTAATCTAGATGCCCCTCATTCGATGGGAACCACCATCGTAGGGGTTACTTACGACGGAGGTGTTGTCCTTGGAGCCGATTCCAGAACCAGCACTGGTCTCTTTCTCTCTCTCTCTCTCTCTCTCTCTCTGCTTTAGTTTCAATCATTTGCTTATTTCATTCTTTGTGCATGATTCACCCGACGTTCGTTTTATTTCCCTAAATCTGGTGCACTTTCAGTGTTCTTAACTTTATCTCTACCGCAAGATTTGTGTGTGTGTTTTAACCTTATTTTGCTATTTATGGTGCATGAGAAATTTCATTACATTACAGACAAACAATTTTGAGAAAATGCACTCTTTTGAATCAACTGTGCTCTATCATGTTCTGAATTTGATTCCATATTTGTTTTCCCGCTTTTAGGAATGTATGTTGCCAACCGGGCATCGGACAAAATCACACAGCTTACGGACAATGTCTACTTGTGCCGCTCTGGATCAGTAATTTTCCTTCTCACATCCCTGATCTATAAATGCTTCTAATAATTTGTTTAACTGTTTGATAAAAGCTGATTTCTTTTATGTTTTGGTCACTTTACCTCGGTGATTATTGAATACTTGGCATTTCATATGTTAGTGGTGCATCTACATTGAAAGTGTGTCTTTAAATCATTGTTGTCCTGTTTTGATTACCGTACTTGCCTACTTGGTGGTCATTGGTGTTTAATTAGCATCTCTAAATTCATGTGGCATGATAAAATCATTATTATCTTTGCCTGAATAGACGTCCCAGTTACCCTAATAGTATATTCCTGATGTAAAATGCGATGCCAAATTATGGAAGACTAGGAACGTTCAGTGTTTCTTGAAATGGTTTTTCATATATGTTGCCAACTCATCAAAGCTTTATCCCATCTATTTGGTGTTGGCTACACAAACCATCTTTTGCCATATGATCCTATGGAGGACCATATCCCTTAGTATGTGTTTGAAGCAATGATCCAGGATTCATGTGCATAAGGGCTTGGAAAAACTTTATGCTGGCCTGACACAATCCTTATCCTTTGTTGAACTTCAGATTGACAGTGCAGGATGAGATTATATTGGCTTGTCAAGTTTGTTTTCCTTTATAAGGTTGCCCAAGGTGGTTTTGTGTTCTTTTCCCCTCTTTTTTTGTCAATTTAAAAGTTGAGATTGTATGCTTGAACTGAAGAAAAAGATATTTCTCTTTAGCGTAGAAGTATCTTTAAATCTAGAGGCCCTACTCCTTGGTTATCTCTGCTAGGTTTTAGATATATGTTATTGTTATGTGTATGTAGAGATTACAATATAATTCCTAGGATTTTATTCTTTTTGCGTTATCCAACTGTCTGTGTTTTCTTGTGTGTGCTGATGCACCAATCCTTTACATCTGTTTTTAACTTCTTAAGTTCCATATATGAATGTGGATTCGAACTTTGATGGAATTTCCATTTTGTTTTACCAGTCAACACAGACAAGATATATTAAGAAAAACATCTCTCTCATCCAGTTCTTAAAGCATCAGAAGAATATTGCTCTTTGAGCAACCTTTCCATTAATTTCTTCATTGTAGATCTGATTTTTTGAAACATGTTTTTCCTTATTTTAGAATTATTTATTCAAAAATTGGGAAATAAGGGCTACACACGAGAATTTCCTTTTAGAAGGTCATGCTTGCTAGTTGAGGAAGTCTCCTGTGCAAATCACAGATCCCCCCACCACAAAAAAAAAGTCCAAATGAAGTGAAGCAGATACACTACACTGCATTAAGTGAAGCAGTCCAAATGAATATGCTTCTAATATTTATTCTTTAAGCTTCAATTTCAACTCAACTCAGCTAAGCCTTGTCCCAACTATATGTGGTTGGTGGCATGCATGTGTTCCACACTTTCCACTCTATGGATGGTCTTCTCTACATGTGACCAGAACCATCTAAGTATACATTCTGTCATTTAATCTCCCATTGGAAACTTCTAGGTTTCAAAAGGTTTATTTTTGATCGCATCCTTTCTAGTTCTCACTCATCCATCTTAGCATTTACATTCTGCTATGATATAGGATTTGAATCCTATGATATAGGAATCTGTATGCATCCCTTTTACTCATTCTGCTATAGTTCTATCAACGGCATTCTCTCTAATCTCTCCCTTGTTATGGATAATTGGACTAAGGTAATGAAAGTGGTCATGTTTATATATCGCTTGATCTCAAATCCCAAGCGTACCTTGATTTACATTCCTATTATTTTTAAATTTACATTCATATATTTTGTTTTAGTCATATTTATTTGAAAACCTCTTTTTGTTTCTAAAGCATTTGTCCTAAACCAAATTTAGCATTTAATCCTTCTGTAGTTTCATCAAATAATGCTGTCTTTTGTAAATAACATTCGTCATGAGTTATTGATTTAAAAGGCACACCTAGGTGCGTAGACGAGGTGCATTTCAAGGTATGTGTCTCACCTAAGCTTAGCTGTAGCCCTTTCAAAAGGGTGCCTCAACCCAGTTGTGCACCTTTTCAAGCACAGTGGCTGGTCTGGGAGCAGAGTCCTTGGATCACCAACTGACCCCTTTGAGGCAGGTCCAAACATGTCCATGCAAGGGTCCTAAATTTTTGTCCTGTGTATAAAGAGATTGGTTTTGTTTGCCTGGTCACTGGTTCTCTGACAGAACCCCACTTTTGCTAGTGTTGTTCTCTCATCCTTCTTAATACAAGAAATTCTTCATCATACAACATTTAATCCATAATCCTAAAATAAAATGAACTGCAACTGAAATCACAAACCATACCTATTTACTTGCATGAGCTTGCCTCAAGAATTAGGAATGCAAGATGTGAAACATCACATAAGTTACCTAAAGTAATGCAATTGGGAGAGTAATAAACATATTTAAAGTTTCACATGCTTGAATTGTTGAGTGTTTGAATATGCTTTATATGTTATCTTTATGTATTTTAATTTGAGCCAATAGGCTTTTTAAAATATTTAGTTTCCTTAATATTAAAGTTTTCATTTTTTTATGAGTTAATATTATTTTGAACTATTTTTTAAACTTTGTACCTTTATTCAAAAAGGTATGTGCCTTGCCTTGTGCCTTGCCTTGTGCCTTGTGCCTTGTGCCTTGTGCCCCGGGCCCCAAAAGCCCCTTGTGCTTTTCTTGTGCCTTGTGCTTTTAAAACACTTCCATGGGACTTCTTCCGGAATATGTTTGGCCAATTTATCCATGGCTAGTGCAAACAAATAAGGGCTAAGTGCTTTGTTGAAGTCCCATTGTAACTGGTTTGATGTCTTTCCTGCAAGTGTTGTAATATTGGTTATTGAATCTTCATACATGTAGTTAATTAGGTCTACATGCTTATTTGGTACTTTTTTTTCTGAGGTCCACGATATTATCTTTCTAGGAACTTTCTGATATGCTTTCTCTAGACCAATGAATACCATACAAACACCTTTCTTCTTCTCACTTAATTTTTCTATCAATTGTCTTTAATTTCCATGGTTGATCTTCATGGAAATTTTATAATATACGTTTCTTCTCGTAACCTCTTCTTGGTTACTTTCTCCTAAGGCTGCGTTTGGAAGCAACATATATGCAAATGTGTACGCTGCATTTGTGCATCTACCCTGGTTCATGAATGCAAAGTGGTCCTGTTTTCCATGCCCACTTTGCACTCTTTCTGTTTGTTTTCGGTCATGGAAAATCTTGAAGATTTAATGGATTCCCTGCCCTGTTCACATGTTCCTCACTGGTGGTCTTGTTTATTAACCGAGACCATGGTCTTGAGAAAGCACCATGGTGCCCTGTTCACCAGTCTCAAACTGTGACTATCTTCATCTTTTCCTTCTCTAAATTCATCGCTTTTCCTACCACCCGTTGTCCCTCGCCTTTTATCTTGATCTTGAGAGCGATTGCTTGCCTACTCCACTATTAACAATCACATTTCAAAGAGAGTATGCTTTCAGGGTAAAAAAATAAATCCTTCAAAAGAATTATCTAGAGTTTCAGACATAAAAACCCTCAAATATTGAGTAAAAATACATTGTTAAACAATCCACCTGCTGCTTGTATTTGATTTGTTGTTGCTTTTTGTCTCTTCTAATCATCACCGCTGCTTGTCTTCTTGGTGAAGATGACTGGTTTAAATGAGTATTCTTGATCAGTTACAACAAGTGTTCAGTAAGTGGGGAATGGAGAGAGCGAAAATGGGAAAAATAAAATTTACAGAAGAAAAGAATTAAGGAAAGAGAGAAGGCCGAATGTGGATGAGAGAAAACGGTCATTTGATGTTCAGCTCAGGTGAAACAATGCAAAAGACTGACGATGAGAGAAAACAGTCACCTTTTACCTTCAATTGATGAAGAGAGGAAATGTTTACTTCAATAAAATCAAAGTAAATGTTTATCCTAAGTAAACGGGGTTTTTTTTTTTTTTGCATCCATTTACGATGCATTTTCACACGCCATCCAAACGTCTGCAAAATCGAACAGGAGTGCATTATAGCACTAATCCGGTGTTTGCATCCCAACCAAAAACAGTCTAAAGTTCCATAGCGTGGCACTGTGGCTCATTAGTTTAGTCCCACAATAATTATTGAAACTTTGTATATCACGTTTATTTTTAAATTTAGGTACCATGGTGCTCTGTCTTGATTCATCTGGCATTGCTTTTTGTTTTTATTTATTTTTGATAAATTGTTTTTTGTTTTTATTATCTTATTAAATAGTTTAGTTAGACGTAATGGGCTTGCTTCCACATACCTTCTCAGGTTTATATTTGGAATACCATTAGGTCCTAGTGCTTTTTCATTCATGATCTTTTTTGGAGCCTCATTTGTTTTGAAAACTCTAGTTTTTTGAAGATACCTATTATTATTTGTATTATCACATTTTTTTATATTTAGGTACCATGGTGCTCTGTCTTGATTCATCTGGCATTGTTTTTTGTTTTACTATCTTATTAAATAGTTTAGTTAGACATAATGGGCTTGCTTCTTGTATACCTTTTCAGATTTATATTGGAATACCATTAAGTCCTAGTGCCTTTCCCTTCTTCATCTTTTTTGGAGCCTCATTTGTTTCGAATACTCTAGTTTTTGAAAGACACCTACTATTTTTAGCTATAATTTCTCCGAAAATACCAAGAACCTGTCCATATGTATTAAGTTTTTCTTGGATTCTTGGATTTGGACCAGAATATTCTGAAGAAGTTAATCTCAAAGTTTTGCTTTTCAGGAGTCTGGAACCTAGTTCCGAATTGAGATTTACAAAATCAGTTTTAACTTCTGAGAACATCAGAATAATGTAACTTACCCTTTAATAAACTTGCCAGTCAACTGCATTTCTTTATATGTTTCACCTTTCACCTTTGTTCCTAAAACATGCAACTTTCATTTAGAAAGGAAGATTTTTAGCATTGTCTTGATCTTCTACAGTTCTAACTCACTATGTAGAATCTTATTTTGTGCATCATGCATTTAATATGTTTGGTTTGGTTGTGTTATGAGTCATGCTACTTTCTCTGGCAGCTTAAGAAATCATGTATTCATGCCTACGTATTTGTATTTGTTTGTTGTTTGCAGGCTGCAGATTCTCAAGTTGTCTCTGATTATGTGCGTTACTTTCTTCATCAACACACGTGAGTGCCTATTTTTTCATAGTTGTCGAATGTTACTAAAACCAACTTGAAGATCAAACTATAAAAGGGTTGAATCAGATATGTATCCAATTGGACCTAGGTTGACCTTATAACATCAGCTGTATGGGTGATACATGTATGCATGCTTTTTTTTTGTGTGTATTTGTATGTTTGCATGCATGCTCATTTTGTATTTCCCTCTCTTTTGATTGCTCTATTGATGGGGACTGGATGGTTGAATGGATTTTTTTTTTTTTTGATCAATAACAGAGTTTCATTAGAATACTGATAAAAAAGGCTTAACTCTCTACAAGAGAGCAAAACAACATCTCAAAATACAGCCCAGTACAATTGATCCCTTCCCACCCCCTGCTTTTCCAAAGCATCTGCAAACGCATTTGCTGTTCTTTTCACCCATTGAAATTGGATGTCCATCCCCCTAGTTAGCCATTTGATTTCCTTTCTTTCATTAGTAAACTTCCAAAGACCACTCCCTTCTGTAACCAGCTTACCACCAACTTTGAGTCCCTTTCAATAATTAATTTCTGTATATTCAGTTCCCTACTCTTTTTAATACCCTCCAGAACAGCAAAGATCTCAGCTCTAAGAGAGTCCCCAACCCCAATGGGGCAAGAATACATTGCTATCACCTTCCCGCCCTCATCTCTGAAAACACCCCTACACCTGAGGGGCCTGGGTTACCTTCACCACTCCCATCAAAATTTAATTATTTTATCTTTATGGAAGTTGTCTAATTTTATTAAAGAAGGGTGATAATGATTTACAAAAATATTATAAAGGATACCTTGTGCTCGTCACTTAAAGCGGCATACACCTATTTTTGGAGGGTTTTCTCCATTTACTGGAGACACCTCCCAAAAAAGAGAATGTTTGACTCTGATGCTGACTATGAGTTAACCAATCCAGTATCTTTTGTTGCAGGATACAGTCAGGTCAACCTGCAACTGTCAAAGTTGCTGCAAACCTAATCAGGCTTTTGTCGTACAATAACAAGGTTTGATCTAACTGGTTTTATTTTGTTTTTATGCTTTTTATTTGTATATTATGAATTGTTTGTTTAAAAAAATACATTTTAAAAAATTACATTAATGCAGGAGAATTCATGAATACTCATAGTTGTGCTTGGCATTTAGTTGCTACTTCCCACCTTCTATGATGATCTTTTTTGTACATTTGGATGGGGGGGATAGTTTGTAGAAATTTCTTCTTTGCTATTAAAAAGTTTCTGGACAAATTTAAGACATCTTTTCATGTTTAATTTCAAAAGGAAGGATTATATCCAGAGATAAAGGAAATGATTTTATGGAAAAAGAAAAGAATGGAAACAATATTAGGAAGACTTTTTTCTTGATTGGTAATTAGGAAAATAATTCCTATATATTAGAAATCATTATGTGGGCTTCTTTAGGTCTGAAATGTCTAAAATGGGAACACAGAAGCAGGTGAATCCCTGGGAGACTTTGCAGGAAGCTGCATCTTTTGCAGGTTGGGTAAGACTCCCTGCATTTTGTGTAGTCTATGTTACAAGGTCTAGGGATTTAGCTGGCGATAGAAGTCCAAACACAAAAGGGTGATTGGTGAAGGAAGGTGACAAGAATACACGATTCTTTCATGCTATGGCTAATAGTAGAAGAAAGAAAAATCTAATCTCTAAATTGGTGGTTGATGAGGTAAAACTCACCCAACAATCTGAGATAGCTCGGGCCTTTGCAGATCATTTCAAATCTATTCATAGGAGGCCACTAAATGGAAGAATTTGGCTATAAGGGTTCGACTGGCCTAAGATACCCGAGTAGCTTAAGGTGTGGCTTGAAAGGAGGTTTGAGTTGGAGGAAATAAAGGAAACTGTGTTTTCAATGGATAAAACTAAAGCACCAAGACCAGATGACTTTGCAATGGCTTTTACCAAGATTGTTGGGACATTTTGAAACATGACCTCCAGAGAGTCTTCAATGAATTCTTTGTGAGGGGTGTGATAAATCTAGGGTTGATTTCTACCTTTATAGCTTTGGTTCCAAAGAAGAGTGGTGCTATTCATCCCAAGGAGTTTAGACCTATTAGTTTGGTAAACAACCTTTACAAGATCATTGCTAAGGTGCTCTCAAGGAGGATTAGGGTTGTGCTTCCTCACCTCATCTCCCAGAATCAAGGTGTCTTTGTCAGTAATCAACAAATAAAGGATCAGATTTTAATAGCTAATGAGAGTGTGGAGGACTTAAAAAGAACTGGGAGAAAAGGAATTGTGTGTAAGCTAGATTTAGAGAAGGCTTATGACTAAGTGGATTGATCCTTCTTACTATAGGTCTTGGAGAATTTTGGGTTTGGGGCTAAATGGTGTAAGTGGATCCAAGGCTGCTTAGATTCCTGTCACTACTTTATTTTGGTGAATGGAGTAGTTGTAGATCATTTCCCTGTGGTTAGGGGCCTTAGGCAAGGTGACCCCCTCTCCCCATTTCTGTTTACATTAATTGCTGAAGTTTTGAGCAGACTAATAACTTTGGTAGATGCTAGAAACCTAGTGAGGGGGTGGAGAGTGGGCAGAGATAGGGTACAACTCACCCATCTGCAATTTGCAGATGACATCATCTTGTTTTGTGAAGGTGAGGAGCTCAGATGGGTTAGGAACATGAAAGTGGTGGTGCAACTCTTTGAAAAAATGTCAAACTTAAGAGTGAATTTTGACAAAAGTTGTGTGGTGGGGATCAATATGGATGAGAGAGCGGAAATTCTAGGTTGTGCAACCTCTGAGTGGCCTATAAATTATTTGGGTTTGCCTTTAGGGATAATCCGGGAAATAATAGTTTTTGGAACCCAGTGGTAGATAGGTTCACAAAAAGACTAGCCTCGTGGAAAAGGAATTACCTCTCCTTGGGTGGTAGAATCACTTTGATTAAGAAACTTGCCAATCTACTTATTTGTTTTTATGATCCCGAAAGGAGTGAGTAGGGTTTTTGAAAAAATTGATGAGAGACTTCTTGTGGGAATTGGGGGAAGAAAAAAGAGATCATAGAGTGGGGTGGGAGGTGGTCACTAGAAGTAAGGAGGAGGGTGGTTTGGGGATAGGAAGTATTCAAAGGAGAAATGAGGCCTTACTTGGGAAATGGTTATGGAGGCTACCAAGGGAGGAGGATAAACTATGGGCAAAAGTGATCATCAGCATTCATGGGAAAACGGCAGATGGCTGGGACGTTGGAGTTTTGGCAAGGGCCACACGAGCTTCTCCTTGGAAATCTATACATGCCATTCTTCCTTCTTTCTTACCTTTCATCAGGTATGACCTTTGTTCTGGAGATTGGGTAAAGTTCTGGGAGCATTCTTGGGTGGGAGATGTGACATTGAAAGAACAATTTCCCTCCTTGTATTCTATCTCTAGGTTTAAAAATGAGCTTGTTTCCACCTCAGAGTCATTTCTTGGCTTTGATTGGGATTTGGGTCTAAGAAGGGGCCTTAGGGATGCTGAAGTCGATCATGTTTCAGTCTTAATTCAGACCTTGGGTGGGGTGGTTTTGGACCCATGGAGAAGGGATAGTAGACTTTGGACTTTGACCCCTTATGGTGAATTTTCTTGTGCCTCCTTTTTTAAGGCCTTGACACAACCCTCAGTTATCCCCAACATAGACCTTCCGGTTCAGGAAGTTTGGGGCAAGCTGATTCCCCCAAGGATTAGAGCTTTTTGTTGGGAAGCCTTTTTGAGAAGATGTAACACTAGTGACTTGCTCCAGAGAAAAAGACCTAATTGGTGCCTATCCCCAAATTGGTGCATCCTTTGTAAGGCAAATGGTGAGAGCTGCTATCACTTACTAATATCTTGCTCACATGTTTCATCTATTTGGGAATGGTTTTTCTCTTTATTTGGTTGTAGATGGACACCCCCACCTGATGTACAAAGCTTGTTCACCTCTTCCTTCTTTAGGTGGCCAAAGAAGAGGGTAGACTTCTTTGGAGATGTGTTAGAGCTGCAATAAGTTGGACAGTGTGGGAGGAAAGAAATTCAAGGATATTTAATGAAAAGGAGAGGAATATGGAGGTTATGATAGAAACAATTACTATCAGAGTGGTGCATTGGGCGTGTTAGTGTAGGGGTATTTCTGTCTTTATACTTATGTTGAGGTTGCTGATCTATAATATTATATTAGAACTAGTGTCCCTCACTTAAATAAGGGCACATGTGTCTTTTCCATTATATTAATAATATAAAAACATGTTTGGCCGAATGGGAGAGTAACTTTTCCCTAATTTGAACCAGACTTTTCTTC